CAGGGAAGTTGATCTATTTGAATAGCCGTGTCCCTCGGTAAAAGGACGACCCGGAGTTGTACCTTGACCTTATGACAACTAGAATCGGATACTTAATAAAATACACCCTTCCAAGTGCCAGATACACCGGTGATCGCTCTCTCACAGGGCGACGAGGGGAGGATCGCCGGGTAGGATTATGCTATGCGGTGATACTTGGTTAACTTACCATCTACTCTGTTCTTCTGCTTCAAGATGGAGGCTGCCAGAAGCGTAGTCTTCGACAAGACTAGCTACCCCCCTCTTATTCCGGCATTCTGCAGTTTAATCCACATATACTACCCCCTTTCATTGATACCAATGCATATGTAGTGTAGCTCCTTGCTTGCGAGTACTTTGGATGAGTACTCACGGTTGCTTTGCTCGCCCTTTCTATATCCGATTGTTGCGACGAGACGTTGGAGTCCCGGAGCCAGACGCCACCGTCGATGACGACTGCTACTACTCGGGAGGTGCCTACTACTACGTGCAGGCTGTTGACGACGACCAGGAGTAGTTTAGGAGGATCCCAGGCAGGAGGCTTGTGCCTCTTTCGATATGTATCCCAGTTTGTGCTAGCCATCTTGTGCCTCTTACTCCGATATCGTTGCTTCCATTGACTCATGTATGATCGAGCTCTTGTATTCGAGCCCTCGAGGCCCCTGGCTTGTAATATGATGCTTGTATGCCTTGTTTTATTTGTAGAGTTGTGTTGTGATATCTTCCCGTGAGTCCCTGATCTTGATCCTACACGTTTGCGTGTATGATTAATGTATGATTGAATCGGGGGCGTCACACCATCGTCATCATCAACCTTCCTCCATCACCAATTTCATGATTCTCACTGCTGTACGTGAGTAATTCCCTCATAGACTTGCTGGACGGTGATGGGTTGGATGAGATTTATCATGTAATCGAGTTAGTTTTGTTAGGGTTTGATCCATAGTATCCATTATGTTTTGAGATTGATGTTGCTATGACTTTGCTATGCTTAATGCTTGTCACTAGGGCCCGAGTGCCATGATTTCAGATCTGAACCTATTATATTTTCATGAATATATGTGAGTTCTTCATCCTATCTTGCAAGTCAATAGTCACCTACTATGTGTTATGATCCGGTAACCCCGAAGTGACAATAATCGGGACCACTCCCGGTGATGACTAGAGTTTGAGGAGTTCATGTATTCACTAAGTGTTAATGCTTTGGTCTGGTACTCTATTAAAAGGAGGCTTTAATATCCCTTAGTTTCCAATAGGACCCCGCTGCCATAGGAGGGTAGGACAAAAGATGTCATGCAAGTTCTTTTCCATAAGCACGCATGACTATATTCGGAATACATGCCTACATTACATTGATGAACTGGAGCTAGTTCTTTGTCACCCTATGTTATAACTGTTGCATGAGGAATCACATCCGACATAATTATCCATCACTGATCCATCGCCTACGAGATTTTCACATATTGATCTTTGCTTAGTTACTTTTCCGTTGCCACTGTTACAATCACTACAAAACCAATACTATTACTTTTGCCACCGTTACCGTTACTTCCATATTACTTTGCTACTAAATACTTTGCTGCAGATATTAAGTATTTCAGGTGCGGTTGAATTGGCAACTCAACTATTAATACTTGAGAATATTCTTTGGCTCCCCTTGTGTCGAATCAATAAATTTGGGGTTGAATACTCTACCCGCGAAAACTGTTGTGATCCCCTATACTTGTGGGTTATCATCCTCTCGCCAACTATTGCTTCTATGACTATCGCTACCGCTTAGTGATAAAGTAAAGCAATTACATGGCGATTGCATTTCATATAATAAAGCGACAATCATATGGCTCCTACCAGTTGCCGATAACAGTGTTACAAAACATGATCATCTCATACAACAATTTATATAATCACGTCTTGACCATATCACATCACAACATGCCCTGCAAAAACAAGCTAGACGTCTTCTACTTTGTTTTGCAAGTTTTACGTGGCTGCTACGGGCTTCTAGCAAGAACCGTTCTTACCTACGCATCAGAACCACAACATAGTATACTGATTGCTTTTTGATCTTCAGAAAGAACCCTGTTCATTGAAATCGATTCAACTAAAGTTGGAGAAACAGACACCCACTAGCCACCTGTGTGTGAAGCACGTCGGTAGAACCAGTCTCGCGTAAGCGTACGCGTAATGTCGGTCTGAGCCGCTTCATCCAACAATACCGCTGAATCAAGAATCAACTAGTGACGGCAAGCAATATGTATATACCCACGCGCACAACTCCTTTGTGTTCTACTCGTGCAGATAACATCTACACATAGACCTGCTTGGATGCCACTGTTGGGGAATGCGGTATTTCAAAAAAATTCCTACGATCGTGCAAGATCTATCTAGGAGATGCATAGCAACGAGAGGGGGAGAGTATGTCTATGTACCCTCGTAGACCGAAAGCGGGAGCGTTATGGAACGCGATTGATGTAGTCGAACGTCTTCGCGATCCAACCAATCAAGTACCGAACGCACGGTACCTCCGCGATCTGCGCACGTCCAGCTCGGTGACGTCCCTCGTACTCTTGATCCAGTTGAGGCCGAGGGAGAGTTTCGTCAGCACGACGGCGTGATGATGAAGTTACCGACGCAGGGCTTCGCCTAAGCACTGCAACGATATGACCGAGGTGGAATTCTATGGAGGAGGGCACCACACACGGCAAAACAATCAACTTGTGTGTCTATGGTGCCCCCTTCTCCCGTATATAAAGGGGTGGAGGAGGGGGACGGCTGGCCACCTTGGGCGCGCACCCAAGGGGGGAATCCTACTCCTACTAGGAGTAGGTTCCCCCCTTTCCTAGTCCTACTAGGAGGGGGAAGGAAGGGAGAGAGGGGAGGAAGAAAAGGGGGGCGGCCCCCTCCCAATTCGGATTGGGCTTGGGGGGGGGGGCGCCCCTCCTCTTGGCCTTCTCCTCTCTCTTCCACTAAAGCCCGTGTGGGCCCATTAAGCCCCCCGGGGGGTTTCGGTAACCTCCCGGTACTCCGATAATTGCCGGAACTCATCCAAAACCATTTCGGTGTCCAAACATAACCTTCCAATATATCAATCTTCATGTCTCGACCATTTCGAGACTCCTCGTCATGTCCGTGATCATATCCGGGACTCCGGACTACCTTCGGTACATCAAAACACATAAACTCATAATACCGATTGTCATCGAAAGTTAAGCGTGCGGACCCTACGGGTTCGAGAACTATGTAGACAGACCGAGACTCATCTCCGGTCAATAACCAATAGCGGAACCTAGATGCTCATATTGGCTCCTACATATTATACGAAGATCTTTATCGGTCAAACCGCATAACAACATACGTTGTTCCCTTTGTCATCGGTATGTTACTTGCCTGCGATTCGATTATCGGTATCTCAATACCTAGTTCAATCTCATTACCAGCAAGTCTCTTTACTCGTTCCGTAATGCATCATCCCGCAACTAACTCATTAGTCACATTGCTTGCAAGGCTTATAGTGATGTGCATTACCGAGAGGGCCCAGAGATACCTCTCCGATACACGGAGTGACAAACCCTAATCTCGATCTATGCGAACTCAACAAACACCATAGGAGACACCTGTAGAGCATCTTTATAGTCACCTAGTTACGTTATGACTCAGCTGAGTTGTGACGTTTGATAACACACTAAGTGTTCCTCCAGTATTCGGGAGTTGCATAATCTCATAGTCCTAGGAACATGTATAAGTTATGAAGAAAGCAATAGCAATAAACTAAACGATCATAGTGCTAAGCCAACGGATGGGTCAAGTCAATCACATCATTCTCTAATGATGTGATCCCATTCATCAAATGACAACTCATGTCTATGGTTAGGAAACTTAAACATCTTTTGATTAACGAGCTAGCCAAGTAGAAGCGTACTAGTGACACTCTATTTGTCTATGTATTCACACATGTACTAAGTTTCCGATTAATACAATTTCAGCATGAATAATAAATATTTATCATGATATAAGAAAATATAAATAATAATTTTATTATTGCCTCTAGGGCATATTTCCTTCAAGTCGACCATCCCATCGGTGAAAAAGCATCAGTGTCGACCAGGTTCCAGCACGCGATGCCGTCACCCTCATAGCCCCCCTCGACCTCCCAAGTATGATGCCCACACACTGTCTGGCTTGCCTCTCAGCATGCAGCCATATCTGATTTGGGATAGGGTTAAAGGGAGAGTGCCTGTTTAGGTCGACGGGGCCAAATGCTGGGTGATGAGATGCGGCAGCAGAGGAAAAAGATGTGAAATGAGCGGCAGTAGGTGGCAGGCGCGCGAACGAGAGAAAGCTTAAGCGGCAAGCGAGCTCGATAAAACACATGACTTATGTAGGGGAGAGAGCCTCGCGAGCGAGTCGACCGACCAAAGCTTCTTAGCCGGTCGACCGGAAGAAATCATTAGCCTAGTATAAATAGTCACAGCTCACAAACATGATGTATGGTTTTGGGAGGAAAGACGATGCATGAATTTCTTACAACAAGTTGGGTCTGGCTTCAATAATTGTAAGATAAACTAATCAGTGGCACAGCTTAAAGCCAAAACGTGAAAGGTCAAGGGTCCCTTGACAGTTGTTAAAGTGGAAGGGAGCTTGGCACTTCTCTTCACAGTGCTCTATTAAAGCGGGATCCGGGAAGATAATGTTAACCCTTAACTAGTAGTAGGAGCATATCAAATCAACAACATGTGCATTCTTCCTGAACCCTTTCCATCTTACTGTCGGTGCTCTGCTCTGCTCTCCGAACCAAACCAAAGCGGACAGCATTGCACATGCACCAGTATACATGCTGTCAAATCGATTGCTCTATACATACATACATTGCATATACGGCCATAATTTACACTGCAGCATTACAAACGCGCCTTAAACCTGACGAAATGTCTAACAAATTTCAAGAAACTCTATAGTCCTTCTTCTCCCTTGGCGGCGATGCTCTAGTTGAGGCCGAAGAACTCGGTCATGGAGAGCAGGTCGCAGAACCCGCCGCCGGCCTGCATCTGATCCATGCTGTCGAACTGCTCCAGGAACTCCCAGCAGGTGCCGCTGTCGCCGAAGCAGCCGTGCAGGGGGTCCTCCACGCCGGGTGGCCCATCGACCTGCGCGGACCCCTGGCTCGTGATCTGACGATGATCGCCGCCTCCTGCGCCAACCACCCCCGCGGCTTCCGGGCCAGGTGCCGCCGCCGCCACCTGGCCACCGATGTAGTCCATGTTGAGCCAATCCGCGAACATCACCTTGGGAGCCACGGGCGCGTGGGCCCTGCAGGCGGTAGGCTCGGTCACGGTCAGGCAGCTCGAGTCGGCCGACGACGACTCGTGCGGCGGCTCCGACGAGCCGGAGTTCGACGGCCGTTCCTGCGCCGCACTGAACTCCCCTGGGCTCGGGCTCTGGGACCCGTCCGAGTCCGCGGCGGAGCTCGCCGCCGGCGGCGTCTCCTTGCCGCCCTCGACCCTCTTCTTGAGATACGAGTTCCAGTAGTTCTTCACCTCGTTGTCGGTCCTCCCCGGTAAATGCCGTGCGATCCTCGACCACCTGCGGTACAAGTTTCGCGTCAATAATTAAGCCAGCGGGCCCGAGTTACTTGCGGTGCACTTAACTTTGGTTTATGTCAGATAAAAAAAACTTTGGTTTCTGTCGGTCGGCGGGAAAATGATTTCAGCTTTTGCATTGACAACTTGACGTTTCTTTCGGCCTTTCTCAAGTTTCTCGTTCTTTTCTCCTTTTGTGGCTCGGAGTATAAACAAAGCAAAACAAAACAAAATGTGTCACTTGGGTGAGAGGGACGAGCGTGGTGTACGTAGTCTATTCATGTGGAGTTGTGGACCACCGATGATCATCCTTGGATATTTTTCGGGGGACATAATTGCAAGGCCCAATAAAGAATCTAATCTCCTCGCGAGGCCACACTTCTACGTGCCAGTCGGGATCGTCAAGGCAGCTGTTTCCATAACTAACTCGCAAGTGAGGAGCGCGGATTGGTCCAAATAGTCGACGCCATGTTCTCTCTCGCCGCTCCACTGTACAGCTAAATTCAACAGGGCCGGCGGTGCTTTCTGCAGCAACGGCCAGAGGATATACTCACAAAAAGAAGAATGTTTTTTCCAAGATAGATAATGATTTTGAGCAAACTTGCGCTAGGACGCAACTGCACTGTATGCCATTTAGCGTCCGGCCAACCAAGCCCACAAATATTTTATACTAACAAGCTAATAATAATCGGAGCGAAAAGCAGGTGTAATCATCACAATGTGCACCGGGCAGACAGAGGGGAAAATCTGGTGGATTTGGAGCGTCCGTGGAGCGTGAGCGTCAGCATCAACTCCACTACGGAAAAGGCCCCGGTGGCTGCCATCACCGGTCTCCCTTTCCCGTTCCCTCTTTTCTTTCCTTCCTTCACTCGAATTAGCGTGTTCTAGAACGGGATTGCCGCCAGCCGAGCAGGGACAATTACACTGGTACCTTTCACGTCCAAACGGTGGGCTACGGTGGGAGTGCTACCACCCGCCTAGTGTGTGCGGGGGGAAACCTAAAAGGAAAACATGGCAGCGGCATCTAGGAGTAGTAGACAGACGACGTGGAGAAGTGTCTTTCGATCGATCGTCTCAATCATTTGCGTGCAGTAAAGTACAGTGCAGAGAGTAAGTAGGTAAATGGTGTGTGCTGGACGGGGCTGCTTACTTGTTGCCGAGGGCGGCGTGGAGGCTCATCACCGTCTCCTCCTCCTCCGGCGAGAACATGCCGTGCTTCAGCCCCGGCCGCAGGTAGTTGATCCACCGCAGCCTGCAGCTCTTGCCGTTCCGCTGGAGCCCTGCGCGCGGAATCATGGTCAGGAGTCAGAACCAGCCAGCCAATGTGCATTTCCCTTTCGGGACAGATGGAACTAATCACTCCCACGAACAAATCAAGGCCAATTCGGACCAGCTGGCCGGAGAGAGGACGAAATTCAGTCGAGGGGCGCCGGTCACCGGTGCCGGAGAACCCGATCTTCGACCCAAATGCACCGAATTCTCCTGAATTATGCCTCCTTTCTGTGCTTCTACAAATGCGGACGAGGGAGCGGTGGTCGGCCTTACCGGCTTTGGCGGGAAGCGCGCTCCAGCAGCCGTGGCCGTGCCGGAGAATGTAATCGCGCAGCTTCTGGTCCTCCTCCGGCGACCACAGCCCCTTCCGGTAGCTCGGCCTGGGCTTGTCGCACGCCTTACACCCCATTGCTTTGCTTGCTTGCTTGCAGGCGGACGAACGGCGCAGCGCGGCACGAAACCTCGGAGAGGTGGGTCTACAGGAGGCAGCAGCAGCGGCGGCAGAGGCTTCGGGCTCAAGCCTTGGGATGGAGATGGAGGAGCGTTCTGGCGTTTCCAGAGGGGAGCAGTAGGTGCGAGTTTTATAGCCATGGAAAGGGGGTGTGTTTGTGTCGTCTGGGAAATAAACAAATTACGTGTTATCATCACCACTACCTCAATTTTGCAATTTCTGTTTTTAATGTACTGACTTTATTTTAGAAAAGAAAAGAAAAATCTGTAAACAATAGGAGCTACTAATCTACTGCAATTGCCGCCTAAGAAAAATTATTGTAATATAATAATGCCTTAAGGGCGGCTGATGCCTTCTACTCCGAGAAATCATGGTTTACATTTGCTCTGCACATTATTGAAATGTTAAATAGACGAGCGTGAGAGAGTGAGGTTTTAAAGAACGTCAGGAGACCACGAAGCGTGATAATGAATCAAAATCAAGGCCAGCTGCGATCGGCAATGAAGTGGAAAATAAGTAAGGTGAGAGTACACAAGTAGTGGGGAAAACCGGCAAATCGTCCGCGATGACGTGACAGATTTTCGAAAAAATATTGCTTTCGTCCGGTGTATGTTTTTCAAACTGTTATGGAGGACACGCCTCGTCAGGTCGTAAGTGGCAAATATCAAACGGTAACATCCGCGCCAGCTACAAGACATCAGTAAGACACATTTGATTTACTTGGATTGATTACTATGTCTTGGTTCTAAAGTGCAGCCAGGACGGTCTAGAAAGCAAAACTATTTATGGCTGGCCCTTTTCCTTTGAACCAGAAAGAGAGCGACTTGCTTGTAATGGAAGCCAAGAATGAGGAGCGGGGCAGAGTACAGCAGGCACTATCTATCTATCTATCTATCTATCTATCTATCTATCACCATTCAACACAGACGCGCAGAAAGTCCAAAAGAAGAAACAAGCTGCAGCCCTGCTATATACAATCAACGCTCCATGATGATGAGGGTTGAAAGTGTCAAACTTGACTGTTGGTCTCCAGAAGATCCCAGCGTGTCATCGCCCAATTTAGCGCCCCTACATCACCAAAGCGTGTCCGTGAATTCGTACCGCACCGACTGGACGATCCCTCGTCCGTGTTTAGGTTGGCTATATATAAGCTCAACCGACGACGCAGCAGAGCATGCACGGCCGCGTGCGTGTGCGCGCGCGTCGGTCAGTCCCGTCCGTGCCCGTGCCCGTGCCCGCGCGCGCGCACCGCAAAAGGCGAAAGCGTCGGGGGCTTCCAGCGTTTTCCACGCGGCCTCGCCGCATGCGGCGCAGCTCCGGGGCACCGACGACGCGGCCGCGGGCGGTCAGTGGGAACGGGCGTCGTCAGATGGGTGGCATACATGCAGCCGGTGGCCTTGTCATTTGATGATCCCTGCGTGCGTGGGTGTATACGCATGCGCGTGTTTGACGTCCGGGTTTGTCCGTAGCCAGCCCCGGAGCAGAGTTGCTGCCTGGCTGTCAGGGAAAGCTTATCCCCTCGACGGAGCCGATCGGCGGCCAGCGGCATATGCATATCCCGGGGGAAATCGGCGCGCGGCGTACGTGGACGTGGCCACCGCCCGTCGTCGGGCATGGGGCCTGCCCAGCCCAGCTGGTCGAACAGGGACGAGAAATTCGACCCGGCAGACGTGCATGCATGCAGTATACTACCAGTACTAGGCACGAGACCGGTTCTTATCAATGGTTAAGAATCGGTGACTGGTCTTAGTCTCCCAACAGAGGCGCTAACAGTCGATGTCTACGTATGGGATGGTTAACTGGGGTGACGGACGTATGTGCATGTGGATGTGGGCTGGGTCTCACCGAACTCGAGATTAATTAGACGGGCGGTTTAGGGGGGCTGCACTAAGCTAAGCTGCATGCCTCGTGTCGTCGTCGTGTGCGCTGCGACGTGACCATGCACGTCTAGGCACGAGGCGGACGGAAGCTTTGACATGATTGATTCCAACGGGTGTAGCAACAATTTTATAAACCGTGCATGCGGCACGACAGGGAAAATGAGAAGCCGTGCCATGACGATGATGTACTAGTGTGCACTGTCATGGTAGCGTGGTCCTGCCATGCATTAGCTTTTTTCCCCCTTGATGGAACCCCTCGATAACGCCCTTCTCATTTTCTTTTCTCCATACCACACTCCAAGGAAGATTCTCGTGGATATTGCATTGCCAGGGTAAGACCAACTCTACTCCTACTCCTACCAGAGTTGCCATACTCCGTCACAGTTTACACGACGCGTTGATTCTCATGCATTTCCACGAACAGATGAATTTGAGGCGCGCCTCATGTAATGGCCACTTAATTATGGCATGGTAACCGCTCCATACAGTGTGTACGTGGGGTAGAAAAACCGTAGTAGCATGCGCGGTGGAATCCATCCGTTTCTCGCTGGAATCGGTCTCCGCCAGTGCATGCGTGAGGACTTCTGGTTCACTGGCTCGGGTTAGTACGCATTAACTTCTCAAGTAATTAGGCGCTGTGGGGATTATTGCGCGAGTATTTTTCAGTCACGCGCAAAGGAAACTAGATCCAGTCACGGGTCTTCTTGGTCACAGAGATTGTTGATGCGCACCTTGTAAACTACAGTATGACGGAGTGACTACCTCTTTTCATGTTGAGATTGTCAATGTTTTATTTTTCTTCTTTAAAGCGTCGTGTATTACTAGTAGATGAGTCTTTGCTTTATTTGTTTTTTAGTTTGCCACAATTGTTCTTGTTGGACACACATTAAACGTGAATTATTAGAATACTCTGTGAGCTTCATTTGCATCTTTTGAGCTAGGCAGTTGCTCTAGTGTTTCACTTATATATTTTGGAGGACGGCAGTGGTTATATTTTTTTAAAAAAATTGATTAACTCTCATGCTTTACTCATATTATTTTAAGTCATATAAATAGTATGTCAATTTGCTTGGATTATGAATTTAGCCCTAATATGATGGGTATTTAAAAGGGATATAATAAAAACTTCCATGAAGATCATTGAATATATGAGAAGTTTGATTTTTTGCATTTGTTCTAAGATATAAAGATGGTAATATTAGTCATGCTACCAGTAAATTGTGGAATAGTAAGAATATTTGCCTTAACGATTGTGATTCATGTAGCATATGTACGTATGGTCTTCCTGTTATGTGATGAAGTTGGAGCACAATTTATCCTTGATTGTCTTCCTATGCGTGAAGGTCGGGGACGCGCGATGGTTAACTCCTACCAACCTCCCCCCTAGGAGCATGCGTAGTAGTAATTTGCTTCGAGGGCTAATAAACTTTTTACAATAAGTATGTGAGTTCTTTATAACTAATGTTGAGTTCATGGATTATACGCACTCTCACCCTTCCACTTTTGCTACTCACTCTAGTACCGTGCAACTTCCGCCGGTGCATTAAACCCTCCTTATACCTTTCCTCAAACAGCCACCATACCTATCTATTATGGCATTTTGATAGCCATTCCAAGATATATTGCCATGCAACTTCCATCATTATCATATACATGACTTGAGCGTTCATTATCATATTGCTTTGCATGATCGTAAGATAACTAGCACGATATTTTAATGGCTTTTCCGTTTTTTGATATCTTTGCTATACTAGATCCTTGCACATCCTGGTACACTGCCAAAGGCATTCATATAGAGTTCTTATGTATTAGTCACATTGAGTTGTAAATAAATAAAAGTGTGATGATCATCAATATTAGAGTATTGTGCCATGTGAGGAATACAAAAAATAAAAAAGGCCAAATGAGCCCAAGAAAAAAGAGAGGCCAAAGTACCCAATAAAACAAGAGAAAAAAATGAGAGAAGGGACAATGTTACTATCCTTTTCCACACTTGGGCTTCAAAGCATCACCATGTTCTTCATGATATCGAGTCTCCTATTTTGTCACTTTCATATATTACTAGTGGGAACTTTTCATCATAGAACTTGGCTTATATATTCCAATGATGGCTTCCTCAAATGGCCGAGGTCTTCATGAGCTAGTAAGTTGGATGCACACTCATTTAGTTTTCTTTTAAGCTTTCATACACTTCTCTAATGCATCCGTTGCATTGCAATTTCTGCTCACTCACATTTATATCGATTGATGGACATCTCCATAGCCCATTAATTTGCCTAGTTGATGTGAGAATTTCTCCCTTCTTTTTTTGTCTACTACCACCTTCTATTAAACCTAGAGTGCTATATCCATGACTCACGCTCATATATTGCGTGAGAGTTGAAAAAGCTGAAGCACATTAAAAAGTATGAACCAATTGCTTGGCTAACACCGGGGTAGTACATGATTTATACTTTGTGTTGAGAAGAGGGAGCATAACAAGATTCTGAGATTTTGTAGGGATAACTTTCTTTAGCCATGATATTTTGAAAAGACATGATTGCTTTTTAGTATGCTTGAAGTATTATTGTTTTTATGTCAATATTAAACTTTTGTTTTGAATCTTATGGATTGGAATATTGATACCACATAAAAAAGATTACATGATAAACATGTTAGGTAGCATTTCACATCAAAAATTCTGTTTTCATCATTTACCTACTCGAAATGAGCAGGAATTAAGTTTGGGGATGCTTGATACATCTCCAACGTATCTATAATTTTTTATTGTTCCATGCTATTATATTATCAATCTTGAATGTTTTATATGCATTATTATGCTATTTTATATTATTTTTTGAGACTAACTTATTAACCTAGCGCACAGTGTCAGTTGTCATTTCCCCCTTGTTTTTGTCTTCATAGAAAATCAATACCAAACGGAGTCCAAATGGAACGAAACTTTTTGGCGATTTTTCTTGGACCACAAGACACCATGGAAGCTTCGGGAGGAGGTCGGAAGGGCCATGAGGCGATGACAAGCTCAGGGGGCGCGCCCCAAGCTTGTGGGCCCCGTGGCTCCGCTAACCCTAATTCTTC